AAATTTATCCTGTTTGTCCAAAGAATAAATCCCTTGTTTTGTTGTTCCTGATAGCACAACCAAAGCATAGCAGCACCATTCCTTTTGCATTGTCTGCCTTTCATCTATTTTACATACTATAACACTGTTATGAACTATTAACTGAGAAGTTGCACAATTATGTTCCTCATTGAAATTCACACTTCTGGTGAGTTGCCTTCAGCCAAGTATTTTTACTATGAAATGTGCTTCCTAAACCAGTTGATAACTGTGAATTACAAAAATCAGACACAGGTAACTTTGTGTTGTAATATCACTCTGTTCTAGATATCTCAGAATAAGTTAAACATCACAACATTGCTGAGCCCGACTTCTTCTCAGCATGAAAAGTCAAACACTGGGACAGGTGCTTCTTCTTTCTCCCAAGTAAAGAGTCCATGAACTACTGTGTGTAATCAAACACCGAGTTGGGTGCTTCCTCCTTTACCAAAGAGTAGAAGCATAAGGCAATATGTAACCAGAGGCAGTTACTAGTAGCTCCTATGTGCTTTGCAAGTCACAAAAATCTCTCTCTGATCATGCAGATTGGCAAAATTAAGACACAGTACAAATGTTTGCCCCAGCCAGTCTATCACTGAAGCTGTGTGCTCAGCCACAGTTTATTAGTCAAGCACAGTAATTGTGAGATGTGGTGAAGAAAAGAAGCAGTCAGGTGTGTCAACCTAAGGAGATCACTCGTCACACGCGCCTTCTCGTTTGACATCCACTATCATGATTACATTACACTTGGGTAACTTTTATCTCTCTCTTTTGTTTACTCACATCAAAACACTTCACCTGAGAAAAGAGAACAGTTCTGACTATCACAAAGCTATGCATCAGATTGATCTACAATTTCCAAATAAGTTTTATCCATATTTTTCCTCTGCACATATCCTCCACAAAAGCCATAAAAAATTGCAATTTTCAAATTTCTTGAAACAAAAATGAATTTTCCCCCCAAAAAAAAACTTAAAAGAAAAGTCCATACTTTTTAGTCACTGCTATTCACAGCCATGTAACATCCACCTGTCGTCTGCCATTCTCGACTCTGATCATGACCATGGTCCACTACATTTCCAGGTGAACATTGCCACCAACCTTTTCAATCAGCCAAAGGAAGCAGCTGCTCTGAGAACAGACTACAGTAAAAAATATTAGAGCAGTTGGACTTTCTGTTACATACAAGTCCTTGACAGGTAATCATTGTGTCCAAAACACCTGACATTAAGGCTTCGTTCACATGCAATGTCTATTTTCTAAATTCTATTTTTTATTTGCGGTATGTCTTATGATCACGGTCTGTGGCCTGAATATCCCGCGGCGTAATTACTGGCAGCGCGAGCCAGTTACTATAAGTTACTATAAGTAACTGGCTTGCGCTGCCAGTAATTACGCGGCGGGATATTCAGGGCACAGACCGTGATCATAAGATAGCGCAAATAGAAAATAGAAATTAGAAAATAGACATTGCATGTGAACGAAGCCTAAGTAGACAGCAACAGCAGGTGCCACTCAATGACAGTCCATTTGTCACTGTAATTCATCAAAATAAATAATGACTCATTTTGTCAGGTAGCCACCAATACCCAGTGTTATAATTGGATTAATATGACCAATGGATTAATCTTAAGTAAACTGTTTTTAAACATTAAAATATAGAAGACTTTTTTTGCCAAACATTTCTTTTCTAGTCTGCAGTTGATGTGGCAATATTTCCGTGTACCCTTATAAGTCATAAGTCACTTCAGTTTTTTCAAACATCCCTACAAACTGGACAGTCTGTCCTGGGTTTCCAGAATGTTCCTATGATTATGGTTGTAATTGTACAATCCTATCCAAGGAAATGGAGAAAGTACAAGTTTGTGGGTGTAACATGATGTTCGGCAAAACCTCAAAGCAGCTCTTGAATGTTCAGCAACCAAACTATCCAAATTGTACCTTATCCAATGTTCAAAATTGTCTCAATTCTGCCTTGAAAACCACTGCTAGAGTTTTCTAAAACACTTCCACCTTTCAGACATGATAATTTGACCTTCAACCACCACCCTTTGTTCTTGGGCAGTTCTCACCTTTCACAATTTCTACTGTTACCATGGAAACTGCACAAATCATAACTGAATCATCCCAAACAAAGCACAGCTATTTCGTCTTGACCTTTGTCATGTCCAAGTCAATTTTCCTCCGAAAATTCGTTAGCTCTAACCTCTTTTGTATGCCTTTGATCATATAACATTCCTCACTTTTTTAAAAAGCTCTAAAAGCACACATAACCAATTTTTTTGTAAATTGGCAGAAAGCGTTTTTGAGCCTTTCTTCATTCTCTTCTTCCGTGCCTAAATATGGAAGATTAATCATTTCATCAGTCTTTCATTCCAACTGTTTGATTAATATTTTTTGTCCAATGCATTTTTTATTTTTGCAAATGTATTTCCTCTTGTTAAATCAAATGAAATGAAATCCATTCTCCATTATATCCAATACACACAATACATTTTCCCTCTTTTTTTCCCCAAATTGACTCCTGCAGAGGCTTAATCCTTTAGTCCCCTATGCACATTCCACTCAAATAAATTTGCAGGCTTATTCGGAACCTCTCATTCAATTAGCAGGAGGTTGTCTGTGTTATTTACACAGAATCACACACATGGCTAACTTCCCTGTCATCTTCTACTCCTCCATTACACACGGCCTCATTGTGTTGCTCTGAACACATGGAAACCTTCTCACACAATTGACTTGCAAGAGATGAAAAAAAAAAGGGTACAGAAGAAAAAAGCCTGGGTTTAGTTATGATGTTTAAAAAAGTAACTTTTGTATAAAACAAACAATTGTAAATTAATTATTTGTAAATAAATTCATCAACTCATTTATTCATTTTATCATTTATGATTATAAATATAATCAATGAATCATTATCATTATATACATATTTTCCCACATCTACCTATTTATTTATTAATTTACAACTAACTAAAGGTCTGATTTTTGCACCTAACATGAAAAGAAAAATGTGTTAGTTCTTGAAACCTTAAAATTCTTCTTTGCTAAAAAGTAATACAAGACACAGCATGAGCCAAAAGAACTGAACCCATTAACAGCTGCTGCCCCCTGGTGAAAACATCGCTGTTGAAAAAAAAAAAATTATGGCATTTTTTATACTCTAAGCGGAAATCCGACCAGGAAGTGTGTAACCAGCCAACAAATTCTTGTAAAATGACAAAATAGGTCACAAGCCTCAAACTAATTAACTTTTTTTTTGGAGGAGTCTCTCTCTGCTAAATAACAAACATATATTTTTTAATCTACCTGAGTAGAAAGTTTTCTTTAAACACAAAATCAAAATTCAAACACCCATTTAAAAAATATCAATATTCTGCAAAATCAGATCAGAGTAATTATTTTTCTAACATCTCAGAATGATGGATATGACTAATCACCTCCTCAACATTGGCCATGTACACCAAATAATACACTGTGTAGGGCTGACTTCAGAAAAAACCCTAATCTCCACAACAGATTAGTCAATTAATCTCCAACTGAGGCAGTTGAAATTTTATCAGGGCTCTTAATTGCACCTGAATCACTCACTGAAGTACCTTACCTGTGGTACATTAATTTTTCCTAAGTACCTGACAGGTAGGATATGTTCAATATAGTCCGAGACCCTAATTACACCATAAAAAAAAAAAAACATTGTGCTAGCATTAAAATGTTGATTCATTATCTCCTGTGTTTTTCTGATGATAAAACTATCATACTCAACAAGTTACTATTTAAAAAAAAAAAAAAACCTTCATGCATACTTAACATTTTTGAAAAAAAAAAATGGGAGATATAAACTGAGTCCATAATTTGCTTCAGGTATAGCATCGAAAGAATATTAGTACTGCTATTAGTGTAACAACTACTCCATTATACCGGGAAAATACAACACCTATGCTGATGGAGCCTGATTAACAGGCGTGTAATGAAGACCTGATGTGTCTCAATTGACAACCTGTCATTTTTATCTTGTAGCCTTGTAAACATTTAAATCAGCCAGACAAGAGAGAGAGAGAGAGAGATTTAAGTTAGAAACCCTTTTTTATGACCCCAGATGTTCACATACAAGAAAATAATAATCATTATCCATAGGGATTTTGTATGTTATATGTTCTTATTCACCTTTTTTTTAAATTAATAAAAAGAAAACAAAAGCAAACACAATCCTAAGTCTAGTGTCTTACCTGAAGATCTATCCACATGTTGACTGACTGTACACAAACACAAAGGTAGCATGTTAAGCACTCATTAGAATAAAACACTGACTCATTTCATTTCAATTGCTTTTAGTCAGCTTTAGATTATGAGGAGCACCCTATGAAATAGACATTACCCCATGCTTATCTGCCATTATGTCATTACCATACATTTAGAATGGCACCGCAGTGGGAGTATTAAATAACATATGAAACAAGCAATGCAGGCATCAGTTGCAGTTGCCTTCAATGTTGCTGAAAATGTGGTAGGTGAGACAGCAACACAACTGATAGCACACCCACATTCTCTCACACACACACACACATACACAGACACACACACACACACTGCAATCTTAACCTTACTTTCAATGTGTAGGTTAAAGGCCGTGTAACTATTAACTGGAAAATGAACACCTTAATTCTTCAACTACCCACAGAACACACTATTGTCAGCTACCATAAGTAAAGACTTACATCATCAACATTACACCAGTTTACACTTTCCTGATAACCAAGTACAATGTGGGGAAAAAGTATATGGCATAATGGGCATAATAGGCATAATGGGCACTATTCCAACAAACATGCACATGTACGCCCATAGACACACATACACAAAATAATAAGAAGAAGAAGAAGAAGAAGAAAGAAAGAAAGAAAGAAAGAAAGAAAGAAAGAAAGAAAGAAAGAAAGAAAGAATGACAAAAACAAAAAAAGAACAAAACTTGGTTGTATTACCATGAATGAGACTTTGCTCCATTTGCTTCCGCAACACAACATGGAGGCCATCTTCCCCTGCTGAAGGGCCAGCTCCACATCTTCACTGACTTTATACATTTTTACACCCTCTGTGTACACGAGTATTGTCCAAAATAACCACAAATAATCTCATCTAAATTCATCCCTTCTGGAACATTATGTCACAGACAACGATTGACTTCCAGGAATGACTTTTTCAGATTAATGACATAAAACATTTTTCACAAACGTAATGATGAATCCTCAGAATTTCTACACTGTTTCTGCAAATTCAAGTTATTTCCCAGAAGTTACCTGAGTGAGGTCTATTCAAAAGGTAAATTCCCAGAGGAAAAGAAGTCTAGAATTTGTGCAGATTTGCTTCTAATGTCATTTTATCCACTTTGCCGTTACTGTTGACAAGGCGAGCCCCCAGAAGGAGTAATTCAATTAGAAACATGACATTTGCTGATTGCTACCAGTCGACACAGTGAAAATCGTATCTGTGATTTCTCCATCACAGTTATCCAGATGGAATGGAAAGGAAATATTAACACAGATTTTAAAAAAAATATTTCTCTGAAATACGCACGTTTTCCAAAGTAAATATTTCTAGTTCGGTTACTCAGTATTGGTGCTAAGGTTTCCAATGTTGTTTTAATCAGGTATTCCACACAACCTCATATCTCCTCTGAAAATCCTCTGCGAATTCTCCGCATAAGGTATCTGAGGTGCACACCACTTTAACCCTGCACTCTAGAGAGACTGAAATCCACAGATTAATGAGTTTCTCTCTCCCTGCGTAAATTCTCCCTTATTGTTTTAAACTTGCAGTGACCACACTCAAAGTAAACACAACAAATTCCAAGTACAAGCACAAGAACATCCAAAATCATGTTTCTTTGAATAAAAAGTCAAGTAACCACCTTTCGCAGCCTTCTGCTTGGATGCAACCCAACACACACAGTTCGCTAAGGGGCTGCCATCATCTTCCTCGCTAGGTGCTCTTACTATTACGTCAGATGCCAAAAATGTCCTGACACTAAAAGACAAGGAGTACAAATCCTCTCCAAGCTCTCTTGGTGTCCTTTGGTCATGGGTCAAAAAACAAGGCGCTCACTAATAAGTGCAAACAAGGTGCAGGGGTAACATTATCTTTGCTGACCCTAAATCTGCACTACATAAACTGCAACAGTATTTTTTTCTCTGCTGGGATTCCCAATGGTGTGTTACATCACAATCTCTCGGTACTAAGTGTTCTGACATTTTCCCCCAGCTTGTTTCCATTTAAAAGTTAAGCCTCTTCTTAACCCCATGACCAATTCTGCACTTTTTCCAACATTTTTTTTCAATTTCTTCTTTTCAATTTCCACTCGAACATCTATCCACAGATTGTTCCATTTAACTTGGAACAGACATTGGTGTTGACCCATGAAATGACATAAATTTTGATCACTTTCATCTGCTTTTACGATACTGATTTTTTTAAATCATGAAATCTTTCACACAACGACAGCTGCCCTGCCGAGTTCTGCAACATATTAGGGAATCCTTCCGTGCACTGTACTGTACTGGATAGGATGAAAAGTTCCAACTCCTGGACAGCAGTAATTATCAAATAACTCTCCTCTGTCAACTACATGTTATAACCCCAGCGAAGTGCTGAAAAGCAGACTCCTGAATTATTCCAATAAATTCACTTTGTTCTAACCTTATCTCCAACATTAACAGGGAGAGTGAGAGAGAGCAAGCAACGGTTTATAAAACTCTGCAAGATAAATATCCAAAACTGTTTCAGTACAATCAGCCCACCTCCTTCTCTGGATGGTTAATCACCCATATCTTTGCACCTCTCAGCACACAAATATATATAAACTTCCAACTCCTTAGAAGTCAACGATATGGTTACACCTTCCACCTTGGCTATGTAATGTGTATACCCCAGCTTCTACACTGTTAAAAAACATCCTTGGTTAAAAAAAATCTTCGCCTGGAGAAGGAGTTGCTTTCAAAACAGTAACTTGACATTAAGTCTGCGTTTCTTCATCAACTGTTTTCCAGCCTGTAATGACTTTCATCAGTTGTCTGGTCTATAATTAATCCTAATTTTTTTCACGGAGGAGGTAAAGAACAAGAAAAAAACCTGGTCATAAGAGTTAACGAGGTTGCTCAAAAGGTCCTAACTCCCAGAGTGTTGCTACTGGTAATTGACCCAGTAATGGGAATTACCATGAAATCGCTTTGGCCCACGGTTCATGAATTCTCTCAACAAGACTGTTTTACCTTTGAGACTCCATTTGCATTTTCCAGGGATGCAATGCTTATATCCAAATTTTGATACATAATTGGATTAATCATTTCTGTGATTTCATTGATGTTTATCAAGCAAGCAAGACTGCATGAATTTTAAGCAACTTTTCTCAAGTAACTTTCACCATATTACCTATCCAGTTTTGATGAGGTTTGCACAAAAGTGAGCATATACTAGGATATGGCTTAAAATGGGTCCATCAATATTCCCCAGAATTAACAAGAAGGACTTTAACTTATGACATAGTTAAAAATACATTATTTTTTCTTCTCAGGTACTTTGATAGAAGAAAGAATCTTAAATCAAGGGCAAAAACACCTTTCAGCTGCCAAGAAGTTGTGCTACTTCTATTGGTATTCCTGTCTAGTTCAAAAGAGGCGTAAAATCATCCATCACTTGAGAGGCAATAAAAGACTCCTTACAGACACAGAACCAGTTACAAGGCCTATTTTCAACAACTTTCTGAGCAGAATTCTAAGTAAATTACTTCAACTGTTTCTTTTTCTTGTGGGTGATTTATCCAGATGATTTCTTGGTCTTTCTATGAATAATTCATTGAAGTCAAACATTTAGAACTATTCTTGTAAATCACTTCTCCAAGTCCTATGGTTTCACATCACTTTGCTTCTTTCATCAAGAACTCCCCTTTCTATAAATCCACGATAAAAACATTTTTAAAAAGCTGCATTCAGAGTTGAAATCTGAGTGGATCATTAAATGAAAAAAAGTATGGTTCATCCAGCAGGTTTTCCAAGTCAGAAATTTTACACCATTCCTATTACATCCACAGGTTAAGAGTAATAGAAACTGACAGCAGTACAAGTCACTCAGAGGAGAGAACAGATAAGATTAAAACTGAAGACGCTCCTTCTTGCAACTGATGGAGTCAATGTGCACAGAAAATAATCTTGAAATCAGTTTCATAGTACAACCACTTCAATCATCTTTTTATTCTAATGCTGTCAGTCATAAATTTAACTCCTTATATTATACAGCTTATAGCTAACTCTGTGCATTGCTTCTTGAGTTGGTGGTAATGCTGAACAAAATGTTCCCCAAAGGTTCCAGATCTCAATAAAGCAGTTTTCATAAAATCAACATGAAATTTCCAGCAATCGTGGTGAGGCGATCATATCTACCAATAAATGACGATCCTTTGAGCCCACTGAGGGCAAGGTCAACTATTCCAGTCAAAAAATCAGATAACCATCTCTACAAAAGTC